AAGAGCGTGACCCAAACCATCAAGCTATGATGGCTGGGGACTTCTGGGGGTTGAAGTCTACCTGTCTTAAAAAAGCTAAAAATAGCTGAAGTAGACACACACTAGCACAGGGGTCTTCGCGCTGGCTGAGGAATTCTGGGGGTTGAAGTCCACCAGTCACAAAAGGGCCAAGTTTGAAGACCCCTCCACTAGCGGACCGTTTTCTCCTAGGACAGGAGTAGGCAACCTTGGCTCTTTTACGACTTGTGGACTTCAATACCCAGAATTCCTGAACCAGCCACTCTGACTCAGGAATTCTGGGAGTTGAAGTCCACAAGTCATAAAAGAGCCAAGGTTGCCTACCCCTGGCCTAGGAGATCTTTGACACCATCTGAGCCGAGGTGGCGCAGCAGTCAGAGTGCAGTACTGCAGGTCACCGGCTCAAGGTTAACTCAGCCTTCCATCCTTCCGGGGTAGGTAAAATGAGGACCCAGATTGTTGGGGGCAATGTTATATATATATATATATATATATATATATATATATATATATATATATATATATACACATTGCTTACTGGTGTACACCGCTTAGAGAGTGCTTGCACTGAAAGCGGTATATAAGTCTCATAAATAAATAAATAAATAAATAAATGACCATAGTTCCCCCATGCTGGCTCAGGAATTCTTGGAGTTGAAGTCCACCAGTCATGAAAGGGACATAGTTTCCCCATGCTGGCTCAGGAATTCTGGGAGTTGAAGTCCACAAGTCATGAAGGGGCCGTATTTCCCCCATGCTGGCTGAGGAATTCTGGGAGTTGAAGTCCACAAGTCATAAAAGAGCCAAGGTTGCCTACCCCTGGCCTAGGAGATCTTTGACACCATCTGAGCCGAGGTGGCGCAGCAGTCAGAGTGCAGTACTGCAGGCCACTTTAGCTGACTGTGTTCAGCAGGTCAGTGGTTCAAATCTCACCGGCTCAAAGTTAACTCAGCCTTCCATCCTTCTGGGGTAGGTAAAATGAGGACCCAGATTGTTGGGGGCAATGTAAATATATATATATATATATATATATATATATATATATATATATATACACATTGCTTACTGGTGTACACCGCTTAGAGAGTGCTTGCACTGAAAGCGGTATATAAGTCTCATAAATAAATAAATAAATAAATAAATGACCATAGTTCCCCCATGCTGGCTCAGGAATTCTGGGAGTTGAAGTCCACGAGTCATGAGCCGAGGTGGTGCAGCAGTTAGAGTGCAGTACTGCAGGCCACTTTAGCTGACTGTGTTCAGCAGGTCAGTGGTTCAAATCTCACCGGCTCAAGGTTGACTCAGCCTTCCATCCTTCCGGGGTAGGTAAAATGAGGACCCAGATTGTTGGGGGCAATGTAAAAATATATATATACATTGCTTACTGGTGTACACCGCTTAGAGAGTGCTTGCACTTAAAGCGGTCTATAAGTCTCATAAATAAATAAATAAATAAATAAATGACCATAGTTCCCCCATGCTGGCTCAGGAATTCTGGGAGTTGAAGTCCACGAGTCATGAAGGGGCCACAGTTCCCCCATGCTGGCTGAGGAATTCTGGGAGTTGAAGTCCAGGAGTCATGAGATGGCCATAGTTCCCCCATACTGGCTTAGGAATTCTGGGAGTTGAAGTCCACGAGTCATGAGGGGGCCATAGTTCCCCCATGCTGGCTCAGGAATTCTGGGAGTTGAAGTCCAGGAGTCATATGAGCCGAGGTGGCGCAGCAGTCAGAGTGCAGTACTGTAGGCCACTTTAGCTGACTGTGTTCAGCAGGTCAGTGGTTCAAATCTCACCGGCCAATGTCCTTCATTAAACGAGGGATGGAAATTTGGTCTTGGGGAAGGGAGAGAAGTCCACACGGGGTGGAAAGATCTCATCAGACTTGTGGGTAGACTTGGGTTGAGACGTTGGGGACATTTCATTTATTCATTTATTTTTCATTGGCTAGGGTTGATGTAGAAGACCTCTAAGGTCCTTTCAACCCTATGATTCTACGTACAAAGTCTACGCTGGGGATTCTGGGAGTTGAAGTCCATAATAATAATAAAGTTGGATGGGACCTTGGAGGTCATCTAGTCCAAACCCCCCCCCCCCGCTCAGGCAGGAAACCCTATACCATTTCAGACAAATGGTGTCTCTTCTTAAAAACTTCCAGTCTTGGAGCATTCACCGCTTCTGGAGGCAGGTAGTTCCACTGGTTAATTGTTCTAACTGTCAGGAAGTTTCTCCTTAGTTCTAGGTTGCTTCTCTCCTTGGTTAGTTTCCATCCGTTGCTTCTTATCCTGCCTTCAGGTGCTTTGAAGAGTGGCTTGACTCCCTCTTCTTTGGGGCAGCCCCTGAGATACTGGAAGACTGCTATCATTTCCCCCCTCGTCCTTCTCTTCATTAAACTAGACAGACCCAATTCCAGTAACTGTTCCTTGTATGTTTTAGCCTCCAGTCCCCTGATCATTCTTGTTGCTCTTCTCTGCATTCTTTCCAGAGTCTCAACCTCTTTTTTTCATCGTGGTGACCAAAACTGGATGCAGGATTCCAAGTGTGGTCTTACCAAGGCTTTGTAAAGTGGTATTAACCCTTCACCTGATCTTGATTCTCTCCCTCTGTTAATGAAACCCAGCACTGTGTTGGCTTTTTTGGCAGCTGCAGCACACGGCTGGCTCCTATTTAAGGGATTTAAAGTTGTTAACATTGAGGAACACTGCCCTACAACATCTGGAGATGATGTTGCCCCCCCCCCAGGCTTCTTGAATTGTTTGCAGAAGACACCATTGGCCAAAAACCTTCAGGGCTGACCAGTGGGTGGACATTTGATAAGGAATTCAGTGGTCTCTCTCTCTCTCTGGACTGCTCATAGCTTCCAAAGTCTTTATTGCCTCTGTCCTGAAACTTGCTATTTGTATCTCCTAGAATCTCTTCATTGGGACCTACCAAGCCTTCAGTGAAATGCTCCAGCAATTAATGGTGGAGAATCCAATTCCTTCAGAGCTGGAAAGGATCTTGCAAGTAAGATTACATTTGGGAGGAAAATCTTATTATTGGTTCCTCACTCGTATCGCAATGAAGACTCCCTGATCCAGGCCAAAAGTCTCCAAAAGGTGAAGTCATGGGAACTGAACCAAAATAATAATAATAATAATAATAATAATAATAATAATAACAAACATCCACATCTGCCTATCCCAGGTCCTGGGTAAGGACTCGATAGGTAGACAAAATGCCAAATCCAGTCTGAACATCTGGCTGACTGTGCGATAATCCATAATAGTAATAATAATAGAGGCATGGGAAAACAAAGCACTACATGGCCAATACGCGAAAAAAATAGCTGGGAAAGCAGATAATAATAAAACTTGGCAATGGCTAAGAGCAGGAAAATTGAAGAAAGAGACCGAGGGACTAATTCTGGCTGCACAAGACCATGCCTTAAGGACAAATGCATATAAAGTCAAAATTGAGAAGACAGCAACAGACAGTAAGTGCCGCCTATGCAAAGAAGCTGAAGAAACAGTGGACCACTTGGTAAGCTGTTGCAAGAAGATTGCACAGACTGATTACAAGCAGCGGCATGACAAAGTAGCAACAATGGTGCATTGGAAGATCTGCAAAAAATATCATTTGCCTGTAAGCAAAAACTGGTGGGATCATAAAATAGAGAAAGTCATAGAAAATGATAAAATTAAACTGCTCTGGGACTTCAGAATTCAAACAGACAAGCACCTGCAACATAACACCCCAGACTTAACAATTGTCGATAAGAAAGACAAAAAAGTCTGGATAGTGCCTGGAGACAGCAGAATAGACAAGAAAGAACTGGAGAAGATAACAAAATACAAAGACCTACAAATAGAAATAGAAAGACTGTGGCAAAAGCAAGCAAGGGTAGTACCAATAGTCATAGGCGCCTTGGGTGCAATCCCAAAACAACTGGAGCACCACTTGAACACCATTGGCATTGACAAATTCGCTATTAGTCAATTGCAAAAGGCGGCCTTACTAGGAACTGCTTCCATCCTGCGACGATATCTGTAATACCATCAAACATCCACATCTGCCTATCCCAGGTCCTTGGGAAGGACTCGATAGGTAGACAAAATGCCAAATCCAGTCTGAACATCTGGCTGACTGTGCGATGATCCATAATAAAGTTGGAAGGGACCTTGGAGGTCAGCTGTTTCTTTTCCTTTCAGAGGAAGAGAACTTAGATCCTAGCATGTTGTTATGGTTCCGGCTAATGAAACACTTCAAAGTACTTCCAGGCATTTATTTTCCTAAAAGTCAGTGATTGTTACAAAATGTCGGCACGGGCATAATGGAGGGATGCTAGGATCTAAGTTCTCTTCCTCCGAGCAGTTCCCTCCCTAAATTAGCCATCATATATCACATTATCCAATTAGTGTGAAGGTCATAGGTTTTCTTCCTCTTTCTTTCCCGGGCTTTACCCCCACCCCCCTTCTGCTCTGTATTAACCCCATAAATACCAGACAGTTCTGCATATTGTCAAAAGCAAGAATATACAATATCTGCAGCGTTGACATTCACTCTGTTTTTTGTTTTACTTCTGTACCATCAATACACAAAATACAGAATTATGAAATTGCATGCAGAGTTTTGATGGCCCCGTCCTGGCTCCCTTCAATGGCACCTTTCTGGCTGCCATCTTGACTTTTTTGACCACATGCTGCAGAAGCACACCTTGGCTGCTTTTGTATCCCGGGGATTGCTCTTTGCTTCTTTTCCACGGGCACTGCGTGTCTGGTTGGATCTTCAGTGTGTCAACATCCAGCTCAGGAATCCAAATAATCACCAGGATCATTTTGGTTCCGAAATTCTGACTGTTTATTGAATACACGGCATAGTATCGTCGAAGCAAAATTCACACTGAGGTTCCAGACACCAGATCAAAGAATGAAACAATTGCTTCTTCGCCCAGGCCCCCCGCCCTCTCACTTTGTAAACAATTTCCCTTTGTTATGGGAACCGTCTGTTTTTCTTCCACACTTGCTTCAGTGTCCTTGGAAGTGAGTCAGGCTCTCACAGCAGAATCAACAAGACTAAAAGAAGAGATGCGTAGCTGCCAAAGTTTCATTCTTGACACAGGGACCGCTACGAGTGCCCAAATGAGCTGGGACACCCCCTCTAAAGTTCTGTGTTTTTTCTTCCTCTTTCCTTTCCTTTACTCCCATGTAGCTCATGGTTCCTTGGCTGCAGGCCCCGGAGGCTGACCTGCGTGAGAGGGCCATCTGGAGCAGCGCCTCGCTCCTCAACTTTGTCGCCAACAAATTGCAGCTGGAAGTGAGTCACCACGAATTTTGTAGTTTATTGATTACTCTTTTGTAATTTATTTCATGCATTCATTATTCTTGGTTTATTGTTGCATTATACTATTGTTTAAGGTGGTGTCGCTCAACCTGGCAACTTTTAAGAGTTGCGGGGTGGACTTCAGCTCCCAGAATTCCCCAGGCACCATGGCAGTTGCTAAGGTTTCTGGGAATTGAAGTCCACATATTTCCAAGTGGCCCAACTGGAGAATTCTGAGAGTTTAAAAATCTGCAAAGATTTGGACCTATTTTGAGTCTGCTACGTTTTACCCCAAACACACTGCTGGGTAGAAATGATAGATCCCAGTTCACTTAGAATAGCAGAGCTGGAAGGGACCTTGGAGGTCTTCTAGTCCAACCCCCTGCTTAGGCAGGAAACCTACACCATTTCAGACAAATGGCTGTCCAGTCTCTTTTTAAAAACTTCCAGTGTTGGAGCATTCACCACTTCTGGAGGCAGGTGGTTCCACTGGTTAATTGTTCTAACTGTCAGGAAGTTTCCCCTTAGTTCCAGGTTGCTTCTCTTCTTGATTAGTTTACATCTGTTGCTTCTTGTCCTGCCTTCAGGTGCTTTGGAGAATAGCTTCATACACACACACACACACACACACACACACACACACCTCTTTGTGGCAATCCCTCAAATACTGGAAAACTGCTAACATGTCACCCCTGGTCCTCCTTTTCATTGAAATAGACATAACCCATTCCTGCAACCGTTCTTCATATGTTTTGGCCTCCAGTCCTTTAATCAGAATAGGGAATGCCAGAGCTGGAAGGGAGCTTGTAGGTCATCTAGTCCAACCCCTTGCTCAAGCAGGAGACTCAATACTATTACAGACAAATGTCCAGTCTCTTCTTAAAAACCTCCAGTGTTGGAGCATTCACTGCTTCTGGAGGCAGGTTGTTCCACTGGTTAATTGTTCTAACTGTCAGGAAGTTTCTCCTTAATTGCAGGTTGCTTCTCTCCCTGATTTAGTTTCCATCCATTGCTTCTTGTCCTGCCTTCAGGCGCTTTGGAGAAGAGTTTGACTCCCTCTTCTTTGGGGCAGCCCCTGAGATACTGGAACACTGCTATCCTGTCCCCCCTCATCCTTCTCTTCATTAAACTAGACAGACCCAATTCCAGCAACCGTTCCTTATATGTTTTAGCCTCCAATCCTTTAATCAGAATAGGGAATGCCAGATCTGGAAAGGAACGTGGGGGTCATCTAGTCCAGTGGCTCTCAACCTGTGGGTCGGGACCCCCTTTGGGGTCGAACGACCATTTCACGGGGGTCGCCAAACAATGCAGTCCACCATATTTTTTCCCCTTAGCTGTGCTCCTCCCTTTTCTTCTATTTGCTTTTGAAAGCCAATAGAATAGACTCTCTTGAATAGAGTCTAATTCTATTGGCTTTCAAAAGCCAATAGGAATTGTCCAGGCTGTCTCTGCCCTGCTGAGCCCGCCAAAAGCCCCATTTTGCAAACGGTGCTGCACCAGTTGAGTAGTCCTCGACTTACAACCGGTTGGGGGTCGCGGCATTAAAAAGGTTGAGAACCACTGATCTAGTCCAACCTCTCCTCCCTTCTTCTTTGTGGCAGCCTCTCAACGCCACGTTCAGTACGGTGCAAAATCAGAGATCACCCCTCTTTGCTTCTAACCCTCTGGTCATCTCTCTCCTCTTAGACCAAGTCCAAGTTCTCCCACCTCGGTCATCTGGTAGCCATTTTGGGAATCTGCTGCGGTGACCCGATCAAATCGATCTGTTCGAAAGCTGCCAAGAGCATCCATCTTCTCCTTTCCATCGTGCTGGGGCAAAAAAGTAAGAGGGTTAAGCGGGAATGGATGTCCACCAAATCCCCAAGATTGCAGGGGCGCCTAGAGACCATCGGGTCCAGCCTCCCCGCTCAGTCCAGCTTAAATCCCAAACGGATCTGGACTCTCATAAGTACTAGCCAGTTGACCGCGGGGACGCTGCAACGGATGTAAACGTGAAAAACGGTCCTTATTTTTAGTGCCGGCGTCATTCCAAATAGTCACTGTTGCAAGTCGAGGACTAACTGGGCTGGTCCTTCTGTGGGCTCCTGGTGGGGGGCCTCTGCCAGCCTCTCAAGCTAGCTTGCAAAACCCCAGGGAAGTGGTGAAGGGTGTTGTGCGAAGTCAGCCCGCTCGTCGGAAAAGTCCGAGAGTAACGCTGGATTCTGCTCTGTGTGCCAGTTGCAAAGTTAGACCAGAAGAACGTCCACACCGAAGTCATCAAGTGGAAGCACCAGGAATTTCTGGAGACCTGGAATCCCATGGTTTTTCTCAAAAATCCTTCCAGAGTCGCTGAGGTAAATGGGATGGATGAAGGCCCACGTTGGGAAGGGGAAGGGGAAGGGGAAAGGGGAAAGGGGAAAGGAAAGGAAAGGAAAGGAAGAGAAGGGAGAGGAGAGGAGAGGAGAGGAGAGGAGAGGAGAGGAAGGGAGGGGAGGGGAGGAGAGGAGAGGAGAGGAGAGGAAAGGGGAAGAAAGGATAGGATAGGAAAGGAAAGGAAAGGAAGAGAAGGGAGAGGAGAGGAGAGGAGAGGAGAGGAGAGGAAGGGAGGGGAGGGGAGGAGAGGAAAGGAAAGGAAAGGGGAAGAAAGAAAAGGAAAAGAAAGGAAAGGAAAGAAAAGGAGAGGAGAGGAAAGGGGAAGAAAGAAAAGGAAAAGAAAGGAAAGGAGAAGAAAGGAAAGGAAGGAAAGGAGAAGAAAGGATAGGAAAGGAAAGGAGAGGAAAGGGGAAGAAAGAAAAGGAAAAGAAAGGAAAGGAAAGGAAAAGAAAAAGGAAAGGAAGGGAAGGAAAGGAAAGGAGGGGAGGGGAGGAGAGGAGAGGAAAAGAAAGGAAAGGAAAGGAAAGGAGAGGAGAGGAGAGGAAAGGGGAAGAAAGAAAAGGAAAAAGGAAAGGAAAGGAAAAGAAAAAGGAAAGGAAGGAAAGGAAAGGAGGGGAGGGGAGGAAAGGAAGGGAGAGGAAAGGAAAGGAAAGGAGAGGAGAGGAAAGGGGAAGAAAGGAAAGGAAAAGAAAGGAAAGGAAAAGGAAAGGAATGGAGAGGAAAGGAAAGGAAAAGACCAGAAAAGAAAGGAAGGGAAGGGAAGGGAAGGAGAGGGGAGGAGAGGAGAGGGAAGAAAAGGAAAAGGAAACGGGAAGGGAAGGGAAAGGAAAGGGAAGAAGCCAAGCCAAGCCCCTCCTTCCTGCTCTCCCTTCTCCAGGTGTTCAGTGTCTACTTCAGCCCCAGAGAGAAGACGGATTTCCTTCTGACCGTCCTGGATGGGCTGACCGAGGCCTGCAGCAATTTCTCTCTGGCAGCTACAGAGTCTCTTCTCGCCAGCATCGCGAGGACCTGCGGTCCAGAAATAGAAAAGGTAAGTGAGACCCCCACCCCCACCCCAAAGCCAGGGGAAGCTCCTGGATGCCTCCCTCGCAGCACCTATTCCCAGATGCCTCGGTGACCCAGCTGCACCTGTTGTAGAAATCAAAGACTTGAATCAGCTCTTTGAGGAAAGGGAAGTTTATTGCATGCAGGTTCAGAGAGCCATCCTGGCTTAAACAGTCTGAACTCAGATTGTACTTTGATGACCACTTTTATAACCCTTTCTGGCGGGGGTTATTTTCGGGTCACATTACATTCTATAGGTCCTTATTCTAACATAGAAAAACTACTAGACAGATCTATAATCGATAGCTCCTCGTTTACATTGGAATGTTTTTAGCAATCAGCAATATATCAAGTGTTAAGCAATTGAGATATACCATGTGACAGGCAGTTAGTAATATATCATGTGCAGAGCTGGGAACAGGATGTCTGGCCATCCTAAATTTAAGAGTTGTCTTGTAAGCAAAACAAACCCACATTTTTGTTGGGCCATCTGCTTTTTATACACATCCTTTGTCGGACCAGTATTTTTCCAGGTACCACTTTACACCCACTGCTAAATTGGGCTGTTTTCTCAAGGCCATTTATATACAGAGCATTGCATAACTTCAAGAGGGCTGAACGCAGGGATTCCTTTGCGACTGGATTGAACGGAAGAACGAGAGGGATCTCGGAGTCCTACTGGACGATCCCTTCAATAGGAGCCAGCCGTGTGCTGCAGCTGCCAAAAAAAGCCAACACAGTGCTGGGCTGCATGGCTGGCTCAGGAATTCTGGGAGTTGAAGTCCACGAGTCCTAAAAGAGCCGAGGTTGCCTAGCCCTGCTATATACTGTAGTAAGCAGTGCTCAGTCCTTGCAGGGTGCAAAAAATGGCGACTCACACGTAGCAGTTTATTGTTTATATAGTGTTTTCAAGCAGCAAACGTTTCTACGTGACAATAGCATTTCATTGGCTAAACTCCCAACCAATCCTCAAGAGTATAGAAGCCAGAGGCCAGAAACAGGGAATAGTAATGGCAATAACATCTTGTTGATGCGAGCTAGCTGTTATCAGACAGGCAAGGTCAAACAGAGCTGCGCACTTTCACATCGCCATGGTAATGTGAAGGGGGGAGATAGATCTAGAGCAGTGTTTCCCAACCTTGACAATTTTAAGGCAAGTGGACTTCAACTCCCAGAATTCCACAGCCAGCATTGCTGGCTGTGGAATTCTGGGAGTTGAAGTCCACATGCCTTAAAATTGTCAAGGTTGGGAAACACTGCTCTAGAGAAGAAGAAGCACACAGGCGTTGGAGGGGCAGTTTTCCACATACAACCTTTGCCTGGCCCCCACCTTTACAATATACCATTCCAGACAAACAGCTGTCCAGTCTCTTCTTAAAAACTTCCAGTGTTGGAGCATTCGCCGCTTCTAGAGGCAGGTGGTTCCACTGGTTAATTGTTCTCACTGTCAGGAAGTTTCTCCTTAGTTCCAGGTTGCTTCTCTCCTTGATGAGATTCCATCCGTTGCTTCTTGTCCTGCCTTCAGGCACTTTGGAGAAGAGCTTGACTCCCTCTTCTTTGGGGCAGTCCCTGAGATACTGGAGGACTGCTATCATGTCCCCCCTCGTCCTTCTCTTCATTAAACTATATTCCAGTGGTTCTCAACCTTTTTAATGCCGCGACCCCCAACCGGTCGTAAGTCGAGGACTACTCAACCGGTTGTAAGTCGAGGACTACTCAACTGGTGCAGCACCATTTGCAGAATAGGACTTTTGGCGGGCTCAGCAGGGCAGAGACAGCCTGGACAATTCCTATTGGCTTTTGAAAGCCAATAGAATTAGACTCTATTCAAGAGAATCTATTCCATTGGCTTTCAAAAGCCAACAGAAGAAAAGGGAGTAGCACAGCTAAGGAAAAGGGGGAAAAAAATGGCGGATTGCATTGTTTGGCGACCCCCGTGAAGTGGTCGTTCGACCCCAAATGGGGTCCCGACCCGCAGGTTGAGAACCGCTGCTATATTCAGTGGTGGGATTCAGCCAGTTCGCACCACTTCGTTAATTTTTTGGTTGCCCAGGCCCACAGAATGGACTTCCGGAAGCGGCGTCCACACAGAGAACCGGTTGTTCACATATTTGAATCCCCACACTGAATATATTGCAATAGCAGAACTTTTTGGAGGAAGCTGAGTTTTGAGGGAAGCAGTGATTTCTTGGATGAGGGACAGGGCTACATTCAAAAACTCCTCTTGAAGCTTTCTCCGTTCTCGTCCTCTCCTTTCAGGTCCCCGATATTATAGAAGGGATCTGCAGCCGTCTGAACCTGATCCGTCGACCCAGCACCAGAAGGCTGTTGATGAAGCTGGTGGGGCTGTTGGCGGGCAGGACCGAGCATTTAGACACCGTTATCTCAACTCTTCTGGAACATTCCTTCTCAGCAGACAGGTGCCAAATGCCTCCTTCCAGCCCTCGTACGGAAATTGTTGCAATTTCTGCGTTTCTGTGGCAACTTGTGTTATTCCTCATTTGAGTTTCCCAAACCTGGCAATTTCCAGGCATGGGGACTTCAACTCCCAGAATTCCACAGCCACTGTGGCCATGGAGGAGAATTCTGGGAGTTGAAGTCCCCACGCCTGGAAATTGCCATGATAAACAGGGCCTACATCAATCCCAAGCATAAGGCTCGGCCTAAGACCTCCTTCAGAGGTGTGGTGGTGATAACTCCCATAATTCCCAGCCTGAACTGCCCAGGATGTTCAGGAGTTGTAGTTTAGGATGTATTTGGAGCCCCCCCCCCCTCAGGAGAAAACAAGATTAGACTGGGATTTAATTCATTTAGAGCAAGAGTCCTCAACCATGGCAACTTTAAGACTTGTGGACTTCAATTCCCAGAATTCCTCAGCCAGCTTTGCTGAGGAATTCTGGGAGTTGAAGTCCACAAGTCTTAAAGTTGCCATGGTTGAGGACCTCTGATTTAGAGTCTTCTTGGATGCCTTAACACAGGGGTCTTCAAACTTGGCCCTTTGATGAGTTGTGGACTTCAACTCCCAGAATTCCTAAGCCAGGCACGTGTCATAAAAGGGCTAAGTTTGAAGACCCCCTGCCTTAACAGATCCAACCAATCAATTTAGGAGGAAACATGTCTCATTGTGACCCATACATGTAATTTGGGTCACTAGTAAGGAATGTTATTGCTGGTTTCAGATATGTTAAACCCATATTACTTGGAGGGGGGGGACAACAAAGTTGAGTTTTCATAACATTGGCACTACATTAAGTACTTCTACTAAGTATCTCTGTATGTCTAAGGTCCATGTGTATTTACCCATGTAGTATGGCTGTAGTATTATTGTTTATGCTTCTTATTATCTTCTTTATCCCTCCCCCTCGTAACTGATATTATTCTGCTGTCTTGTGTGTACATTAAGAGCTTTTGCACTGGAGGCAAATACCTTGTGTGTCTAATCACACTTGGCCAAATTCAGTTCAATATTATAAGCTTCAAAACCATGTGTAGGTTGAGCTCACACAACATGCTGGTCTAAGCTACTATGAGGCTGGATTACTAATGGATGTGAGAACCTGAACATTGTCTTAGTATGGGTGTGTGAACTACCCCATCACCATTAGCTATTTTTTTAATTAGCTTTTTTTAAAAAAAATCAGGTCACTTCCATCCATTGGGAGGGATGTGTTGTGATTCCTGAGTCTGAGGACTCAGAGGAGGAGGAGGAGGAGGAGGAGGAGGGGTCTGGAGTGACATCAAAGGAGGAGGAAGGCTCTTCCAGACTTACAGTCTGACAAGGAGCCTGGCCCGTCTACTCGCCCTCTGGCTGAGACACAGCTTTGCTGGGAGTCTGAATTGGACAGTGATGAAGAACAGCTGGGACAAATCCCGGATGCACGAAAGCGCCGGCAGGCAGAGAGTGTAGGACAGAGGGATGCAATGGGGCGGCTCCAAAGGCAAAGGAGAAGGCATTAGGAAGCCACACCTTGGCTGCATCATAAAAGGGAAGGTGTGAGAAGTGCTGACTGCCGAAAGCAACCGTTAGTGTTGCGGATCGAGTTTGTGTGAGCTGTGTTTGTTTGCCTTGGACGTTGACTCAGGTCTGTGAATAATAAAAGGGGACTGGTTTTTTCCCGCGGTTCCAGCCTGCTTGTTGGAAGAGGGGCTTCTCCTTGTGAGCTTAACACTAGGCTGGGACAGAACGGGTTGTGAGTGACATGCCCCTCAAGGAGAGAGAGACCAAGTTCTAACAAGCATTCAACTTTGGCCCTTCCTTCAACCTTCCTCCCATTGGCAGCAGTCCATCTGAGCTGTGGCGATCTCTTTCCACGGAGGAAATGATCGAAGAACAACTTCTGGAGAACTTGCTCACCAGGCTGCAGAGCCAACATAAGACACAGCTGCAGCCTCCATCCTTCTCCCTCTCTGTGAGTTGGACCTTGCCTTTCTTTCAGGGAGAGCTGGGTTCTAAGTCCTGGTTGCACTGAGAGAGTGCCATCAGTTGGGCTTCTTTGGGCCAAATTCAGGGTCACCGAAATGGCTGACCGTTGATTTGTTCTTCTCTTGTAACTAGTGGACCATCCCTTAAATAGGAGCCAGCCGTGTGCTGCAGCTGCCAAAAAAGCCAACACAGTGCTGGGCTGCATTAACAGAGGGATAGAATCAAGATCACGTGAAGGGTTAATACCACTTTACAAGGCCTTGGTAAGGCCACGCTTGGAATACGGCCTCCAGTTTTGGTCACCACGATGCAAAAAAGAGGTTGAGACTCTAGGTCAGGGGTAGGCAACCTTGGCTCTTTTATGACTCATGGACTTCAACTCCCAGAATTCCTGAGCCAGCCATGCTGAGGGGAAAGGGAGAGATTTCCAAGCTGAGCCATGCTGGCTCAGGAATTCTGGGAGTTGAAGTCCACGAGTCATGAAGGGGCCATATAGTTTCCCCCGATGGCTCAGGAATTCTGGGAGTTGAAGTCCACGAGTCATGAGGGAGCCATATAGTTCCCCCATGCTGGCTCAGGAATTCTGGGAGTTGAAGTCCACAAGTCATAAAAGAGCCAAGGTTGCCTACCCTGGCTCTAGGTCAGTGGTTCTCAACCTGTGGGTCAGGACCCCTTTTGGGGTCGAACAACCATTTCACGGGGGTCGCCAAACAACGCAGTCCGCCATTTTTCCCCCCTTTTCCTTAGCTGTGCTACTCCCTTTTATTCTATTGGCTTTTGAAAGCCAATAGAATAGACTCTCTTGAATAGAGTCTAATTCTATTGGCTTTCCAAAGCCCATAGGAATTGTCCAGGCTGGCTCTGCCCTGCTGAGCCCGCCAAAAGTCCCATTCTGCAAACGGTGCTGCACCCGTTGAGTAGTCCTCGACTTACGACCGGTTGGGGTTCGCGGCATTAAAAAGGTTGAGAACCACTGCTCTAGGTTCTCCTGCTTGAGCAGGGGGCTGGACTAGAAGACCTCCAAGGTCCCTTTACCAGCTCTATCCTGATGGAATTACATCCCGCTTTCCTTGTCCCCCGTCCCCCTTCCAGTTAACCCAGGCTCTCTACGAGGTGATCTCCGTCCTGGAATCCAGGGACACCATCCGAGGCCTTTTTCCGGAGCTCCTGGTGACCTTCCTTGTCGAGCTTCATTTCAGCAGTCAGAGGGACGCCCTGCCCGACGTGGACTTCCTCCAGCAGTGCGGGCAGGTCAAAGGTCAAGTCAGGTGCCACTTCCTAGGGAATCCTCATCTCCCCATCTCCGTTCCCAACCTTTGTGGCGTTATGAGCAGTCCTTGACTTACAACAGGGTTTGTTTAGTGACCGTTTCGAAGTTACAACAGCGTTGGGAAAAAAAATGACACACGACCGTTTTTCACGCTTAACGACCGTCGCAGCCTCCCCGTGGTCACGTGATCAAAATTTGGACACTTGGCAACCGATTCCGATTTACGATGGTCACAGTGTCCTGGAGGGGGTCACGGGATCCCCTTTGGCGACCTTCTGGCAAGCCAAGTCAATGGGGGGAAGATGGATTCACTTAACAACTGTGCGACTGACTGAACAACTGCGGTGATTCATTTAACGACTGTGGCAAGAAAGATTGTAAAATGGGCCAAAATCACATTGAACAGCTGTCTCTCTTAGCAATGGAAATTTTGGGCTCAGTTGTGGTTGTAAGTTGAGGTAGTCCTTGACTTTGCTTGTCTGAAGGCCACAAAAGAGGATCACGTGACCCCTCGGGTCATGGCAACCGTCGTAAATATGAGTCAATTCATTGCCAAGTGTGTGGATGTCAATCTCCTGACGGTCATAAGTCACTGTTTTTAGTGCCGTTGTAACTTCGGTCACTCAGTGAACTTCAGTGTCGAACTTTGAACGGTCACTAAATCAACCGTTGTAAGTCAAGGACTACCTGTTGTGATTCCTCGCCGGCCAGTGGACCCAGCAGCTGAGTCTGAGGAATCAAAGGAGGAGGAGGAGGAGCGGCCTGGAGGGTCATCAGAGTCAGAGGAAGACTCTGAGGAGCTCCAAGACTTACAGTCTGACCAGGAGCCTGGCCCCTCTACTCGCGCTCAGGCTGAGACACAGCTGTGCTGGGAGCCTGAGTTGGACAGTGATGAAGAACAGCTGGGACAAATCCCGGATGCACAAAAGCGCCAGCAGGCAGAGAGAGTAGGACAGAGGGATGCAATGGGGCGGCTCCAAAGGCAAAGAAGAAGGCATTAGGAAGCCACACCTGGGCTGCATCATAAAAGGGAAGGTGTGAGAGGTGCTGACTGCCGAAAGCAACCGTTCGTGTTGCGGAATCGAGTTTCTATGAACTGTGTTTGTTTGCCTTGGACATTGACTCAGGTCTGTGAATAATAAAAGGGGATTGGTTTTTCCTGCGATTCCAGCCTGCTTGTTTGGTAGGGCTTCTCCTTGTGAGTGTAACGAAGACTCATGTGGGCTGGGACAGAACAGTCCCTGTATAAGGAACAGCAGCCCTGAGCGAATCCTTCTCTGCCCCTTCAGTTTCGCCGTGGAGGCCATCAAGATGCTGCTCATCCGGATCGGATGCCGGTACGAGGTGACCTTCATGGAGAAGACGCGAGGCTGGTCGATGCTGCAAAGCGGCCGGGAACTCCTCCAGGGAAGCACCCTCCTGGCCAGGTGAGTCTGTCCCCCCCCCCCAAAAGACGGTGTGGTTCTTTGATTCAGAAAGTGGACATCACCTCCACCCAGTTGTCTGTGCAGCTAAGCAACCCAGGTTGAAGACCCGAGCATGCTGAGAATGGGTGAGCTCCCGTCTTCACCTCAGCTGTTGCCCACCTAACCTAGCGGTTCGAAAGCGTGCAAAGGTGAGTGGATAAATACAGGTAGTCCTCAACGCACGACAGTTCGCTTAGTAACATTTTGAAGTTGCAACGGCACCGGAAAAGGAGGCTTAGGGCCAGTTTTTCACAGTTACGACCGTTGCAGCTGCACGTGATCAAAATCCAGATGCTTGACAGCTCGTTCATATTTACGACGGTGGCTGTGTCCCGAGTCACACGATCCGCTTTTGCAACCTTCTGGCAAGCAAAGTCAATGGGAGAAGCCAGATTCACTTAACAAGGGTGTTACTAACTTAACAACGCAGTGACTCACTTAACAACTGTTAACGGATCTTTTGTCTTTTTCAGAGCCATGCTCCATTTTTGCTGCCCGGAGATTATCAGGGTCCTGGATTTGCTATTCTCTGTCCTCAGCAAAAGCAGCGAAATGCACAAGCCGACAATCATTGCCTTCTTTGTCGAGGTAAGGAGCGGGTGGGAAAAATCAGGTGTGTGATTTCTAGCTTACTTTGCACCGCGCACAGGCCTCCTCACAATCCACCTCACTATTCAAATCAGAACACATACACAGATCGTTCAATTCAGCGAGCAAAAATAAGCTTGATGTTTATTCACGCAACCTGAAGTTGAAGTCCACCCCTGGTCTAGTCCAGGGGTAGGCAACCTGGGCTCTTTTATGACTCGTGGACTTCAACTCCCAGAATTCCTGAGCCAGCCATGTTGAGGGGAAGGGAGAGGTTTCTAAGCTGAGCCATGCTGGCTGAGGAATTCTGGGAGTTGAAGTCCACGAGTCATGAAGGGGCCATAATTTCCCTATGCTGACTGAGGAATTCTGGGAGTTGAAGTCCACGAGTCATGAAGGAGCCATAGTTCCCCCATGCTGGCTGAGGAATTCTGGGAGTTGAAGTCCACGAGTCATGAAGGAGCCCTAGTTCCCCCCATGCTGGCTGAGGAATTCTGGGAGTTGAAGTCCACGAGTCATGAAGGAGCCCTAGTTCCCCCCATGCTGGCTGAGGAATTCTGGGAGTTGAAGTCCACGAGTCATGAAGGGGCCATAGTTCCCCCATGCTGGCTCAGGAATTCTGGGAATTGAAGTCTGTAAATCATGAAGGGGCCATAGTTCCCCCATGCTGGCTCAGGAATTCTGGGAGTTGAAGTCCGCGAGTCATGAAGGGGCCATAGTTCCCTCATACTGGCTCAGGAATTCTGGGAGTTGAAGTCCCCCAGTCATGAAGGGGCCATAGTTCCCTCATACTGGCTCAGGAATTCTGGGAGTTGAAGTCCCCAAGTCATGAAGGGGCCATAGTTCCCCCATACTGGCTCAGGAATTCTGGGAGTTGAAGTCCGCGAGTCATGAAGGGGCCACAGTTCCCTCATGCTGGCTGAGGAATTCTGGGAGTTGAAGTCCACAAGTCATGAAGGGGCCATAGTTCCCCCATGCTGGCTGAGGAATTCTGGGAGTTGAAGTTCCCGAGTCATGAAGGGGCCATAGTTCCCCCATGCTGGCTGAGGAATTCTGGGAGTTGACGTCCACGAGTCATAAAAGAGCCAAGGTTGCCTACCCCTGGCCTAGGGTGATGAAAAAAAGATCTCCAGATCATGCCTTCTTGCATTTTACTCTCCCCTTTCATGATTTTTCTCACTCCCTCACCCAATCCCAACTCAATCCTCCTCTAAAGAGTGATTTCAGCCCTGAAGACCAAAAAGACAATTTCTTCTGGTGGTTCCTTGACTTTGAGAAGATGTTCTTCCAGGTGAGGCCACCAAAATAAATTCGAACCGTGGGAAGACATCTCCTATTGACCACTACGGATCCTGTCCATCCTCAAGTTGCTTTTTTCCCTGAGGAACTTGATCCTCTTCTCATCCCTTCGGTCTCTCGTGACGGATTCTCACTTTGACCTTCAGCTACTTCACTCCCAAGACATCGACCAGTTTCCCACAGAACAGATCTTTGAGAACCTGGAGGAATGGACCCAAAACCCCAGCCCAGATGTTCGCTCTCTTGCCCTACGGGCCCTTGGCATCCTGGTCATCCATCCAGACAAGGTGAGGAAGCAGCTGAGAAGTGACCCCAATGGTTGGGAGGGGTTTTTCATTCCAGATTATAGACCCATAATTTGGTTTTTCGGCAAAAGACACTTTGGCCCCCGTTCACAAGTTACTCTTCCCTGTAGATCTAGGTGCCAGGGAGGGCTTGAGAAAGGATGTCCCCCCCAAAAAAAATGGAGATGTCAGAAGCTGTTGAGATGTTTCTCCTAGCCTACCCAACGTCTACGTAACAACCTGGGAAAAAAAGCAACTTATTTATTTATGAGACTTATATACCGCTTTGAGTGCAAGCACTCTCTAAGCGGTGTACACCAGTAAGCAATGTATATATATATTTACATTGCCCCCAACAATCTGGGTCCTCATTTGACCTACCCCGGAAGGATGGAAGGCTGAGTCAACCTTGAGCCGGTGAGATTTGAACCGCTGACCTGCTGAACACCGTCAGCTAAAGTGGCCTGCAGTACTGCACTCTAACTGCTGTGCCACCTCAGCTCTTATGACTGTTTTCCACACTTAACAACCGTTGCGGCCTCCCACCGTATTCAAAATTGTGACACTTGGGCACCTGGCTCATATTTATGACGGTTGCAATGGTCCCGGCTTGACGTGATCCCTTTTTGTGACCTTCTGACGAGCGAAGTCAATGGGGAAGCAACTCCCGTAACAATTGCAGTTTTTTCGCTTAGTAACTGTGAGAAGAAAGGTCCTAAAATGGGGCAAAACACATTTAACAACTGCCTCACTTAGCAAACAGAAATGTTGGCCTGACTCGCAGTCGTTAAGTCAAGGGTTACTATCTGGAGATCCATTCCAGAGCTAGCTAAGTTATTTATGTGTTGAGAACGTCATTTGGAGAGTCAGATGAAAATCTGGATCAGTGGTTCTCAACCTTTTTAATGCCGCAACCCCCAACCGGTTGTAAGTCGAGGACTACTCAACCGGTCGTAAGTCGAGGACTACTCAACGGGTGCAGCACCGTTTGCAGAATGGGACTTTTGGCGGGCTCAGCAGGGCAGAGACAGCCTGGACAATTCCTATTGGCTTTTGAAAGCCAATAGAATTAGACTCTATTCAAGAGAGTCTGTTCTGTTGGCTTTCAAAAGCCTATAGAATAAAAGGGAGTAGCACAGCTAAGGAAAAGGGGAAAAAAATGGCGGACTGCGTTGTTTGGCGACCCCCGTGAAATGGTCGTTCGACCCCAAATGGGGTCCCGACCCACAGATTGAGAACCACTGATGTAGATCATTTGACAGATCAATCAATCAGTAAGGCACGGACGACGATGGGCACTTCCTGTTTGCAGGTGGAGGAAGTCAAAGCCTTGATGCCCACCCTCTTGGCTGGCCTGGAGGAAACGGACAACGGGGTCATCCTGGAAGCCATCACCGCCCTCCAAAATGTTCTGAAGTTCATGCAGAGGAGCGACGTTGTAACTCTGGCAGAGAAGCTCCTTCCGTTGTTTAGCGCTGTAAGATGATTCACCCAGGTGGATTCCCAAGACCTTATCACTGTGATTCTCAGCCTTGACCACAAGGGATGGACTTCAACTCAATCAATCAATCTGTTCAATCCCAGCCTATTGCCGTTAAAGGCACAAGGACCAAACCCCTGTTGATAAAGTAGACCAAACCCCTTTTAATATGGGTGACAAACTTGCCAAATAGTCCAAAACACAAACAGCAAAACTCAATCCAAATGAAGGAACTAGTCCACAGGAAACCCGATACAAACAGAAGAGTAGTCACAAGCAAGACGAACAAACCAGGATCCCAAGAAGCACTTTGCAAACGGTTGCCTTCAGCAACCAGCACTGCCCACACCTCCTCTTTTTATACAGCAGTCCCAAGGCGTTGCCTCTCAGTGCCTTCTCCTTTTACTCTGGAGTTGCCGTATTGACTGCTGCTGATTTACTCTCGCTAATTGACGACGTGTGCGAGCATCAATTAGCAGGTCCATCAGCTGTGAGTTCTCCCAGTCTGACTCATTCTCCTCACACAGCTGAGCTTCATCAGGAACACGACTGGAGGGCCCAGGCTCTGCATCAAACTGTGAGTCCTGTAATTCATCCGAGCCTCCCTCTGCCCCCGATGGCCCTTCAAATGCCTCCTCCACCTCTTCCTCAGATTCCTCGGACTCCGCTGTTGGGAGCACAGGCTGGCACGGAATCACAACACAATCTAGAGCTGGAAGGGACCTCGGAGGTCTTCTAGCCCAACCCCCTGCTCAAGCAGGAGAGCCTGTACCCCTTCAGACAAGTGGCCGTCCAGCCTTTTCTTAAAGGTCTCCAGGGATGGAGCACCCACCACATCTGTTCCACTGGTTAATTGTTCTCACTGTCAAGACGTTTCTCCTTAAATCCAGCTTTGCTGGCTGGGGAATTCTGGGAGTTGAAGTCCACCCATTTTAAAGGTCTCTTTAAGACTTGTGGACTTCAGTTCCCAGAATCCCTCAGCCAGCCATGTTGGCTAGAGAGTTATGTGAGTTGAAGTTGACAAGTCTTAAATTCTGGGAGTTGAAGTCTATCCATCTTAGCGGTCAAGGCTGATGAACACTGTCCTCTCCCCAGTTCTGTGGTTCCTTGAGTCCTCTTTCCTCTGAGGTCTTCTCCTGTGGTTGGCTTTCCTTGGTCTCCTCTCCCATACTAGCCACTACAAAAGGAGACACAGGTCAACAAACCACCATAAGACCCAGATGCACAATAGATTGAATCAATATTTAGAACCAGAACAACAGAAACCAGATTTTCAACTAAAAAGACATCTCCTGGAGAACATCGGGCAGAAATTGAGGTGGGAATGACCGCTTCCCTAAAAAACAGAGGTCTCCAAACTTGGCAACTTTAAGATTGTGGACTTCAATTTCCAGAATTCCCCAGCCAGCCATGCTGGCTGGGGAATTCTGGGAGTTGAAGTCCACGAGTCTCACATTCTGGCGATTCTGGGAGTTGAAGTCCATGAGTCTCAAAGTCTGGGAATTCTGGGAGTTGAAGTCCATGAGTCTCACATTATGGAAATTCTGGGAGTTGAAGTCCACAAGTCTCACATTCTGGCAATTCTGGGAGTTGAAGTCCACAAGTCTCACATTCTGGCAATTCTGGGAGTTGAAGTCCACGAATCTCAAATTCTGAGAATTCTGGGAGTTGAAGTCCACAAGTCTCACATTCTGGCAATTCTGGGAGTTGAAGTCCACGAGTCTCAAATTCTGAGAATTCTGGGAGTTGAAGTCCACGAGTCTCAAATTCTGAGAATTCTGGGAGTTGAAGTCCACGAGTCTCAAATTCTGGGAATTCTGGGAGTTGAAGTCCACGAGTGTCCAATTCTGGGGATTCTTGGAGTTGAAGTCCATGAGTGTCCAATTCTGGGGATTCTGGGAGTTGAAGTCCACGAGTCTCACATTCTGGGGATTCTGGGAGTTGAAGTCCACGAGTCTCAAATTCTGGGGATTCTAGGACACGAGTCTTAAAAGTTGCCCCGTTTGGAGAGCCCTGCCTTAAAGTATCACAAAGTTGTTGCATTGTCTGATTCTCAGGGATGCTGGTGTTTGCATGTTGGGACCACAAGACAGAGTGGTGTGGTTGTCGTTAGGAGGATAGGTTTATCTGCTTCCCTGCTACAGGCCAAGTTATGCCGGTTAGGGCAAAGGCCACAGGCATCATAACACTCCACGGTGCTGCTGATGCTGCTTCTTTTTCGCAGGCAGACCCTAAAGTACGCAGTTCCGCCATCTTTCTCTTTTCTGAGCTTACGAGTTTGGTGAAGAAGAAGGAGAAGTATCTAATCCAGGAGCAAGTTAATCAAAGTCTGGTCCCACTGTTACTTCACCTGCAGGACGAGGAGCCGGATGTTGTGAAGGTGAGTGGAGTTGAGGAACGGAGTTGGGGAACGCTGCGGGAATTGGGGGTGTCTAGTTTAACAAAAAGAAAGACTAGAGGGACGGGATAGCAATGTTCCAATATCTCAGGGGCCGCCCCAAAGAAGAGGGAGTCAAGCTATTCTCCAAAGCCCCTGAAGGCAGGACAAGAAGCAATGGAGGGAAACTAACCAAGGAGAGAAGCAACCTAGAACTAAGGAGAAACTTCCTGACAGTGGGGACAATTAACCAGTGGAACTACCTGCCTCCAGAAGCGGTGAATGCTCCAACACTGGAAGTTTTCAAGAAGAGACTGGACAGCCATTTGTCTGAAATGGTGTAGGGTTTCCTGTCTGAGCAGGGGTTTGGATTAGATGACCTCCAAGGTCCCTTCCAACTTTATTATTATTATCGATCATCGCACAGTCAGCCAGATGTTCAGACTGGATTTGGCATTTTGTCTACCTATCGAGTCCTTACCCAGGACCTGGGATAGGCAGATGTGGATGTTTGATGGTATTACAGATATCGTCGCAGGATGGAAGCAGTTCCTAGTAAGGCCGCCTTTTGCAATTGACTAATAGCGAATTTGTCAATGCCAATGGTGTTCAAGTGGTGCTCCAGTTGTTTTGGGATTGCACCCAAGGAGCCTATGACTATTGGTACTACCCTTGCTTGCTTTTGCCACAGTCTTTCTATTTCTATTTGTAGGTCTTTGTATTTTGTTATCTTCTCCAGTTCTTTCTCTTCTATTCTGCTATCTCCAGGCACTGCCACGTCCACTATCCAGACTTTTTTGTCTTTCTTATCGACAATTGTTAAGTCTGGGGTGTTATGTTGCAGGTGCTTGTCTGTTTGAATTCTGAAGTCCCAGAGCAGTTTAATTTTATCATTTTCTATGACTTTCTCTATTTTATGATCCCACCAGTTTTTGCTTCTTCTTGTTGGACTTGATCTGTAGTAACAGATCATTATTTCTTTGTTTTCCATCACTGTGTATCTGCGACGGGTAAACACCTTTTCTTCCAGTAGTTCTGCAGCTGCTGGCCCTGGTTGCTCAGCCAACAGTCCTGAGTCCTGTAACCCATTTTTCACCAGATATCCAGGAACTCCAATATCTAGTGCGGACCTTGTTAACCCGGGCGACGTCCGAGCCGGTATGGCATTCTGAAATTTACGTCTCACCATATTTTTTATGGGAGAGACACTCTTTGTCTGACTCCTCTGATGAGACCTGTCCAGTATGGTTGAACCTCTGGCATAGCTCTCATCTTCCTCAGAGTACACAAGCCCCACAACCACGTCAAGGTAGTGCCTCACTGGGGGCTTATTATTATTATTATTATTATTATTATTATTATTATTATTATGTCTAGTCTAATGAAAAGAAGGACGAGGGGGGACAGGATAACAGTCTTCCAGTATCTCAGGGCCTGCCCCAAAGAAGAAGGAGTCAAGCTATTCTCCAAAGCGCCCAAAGGCAGGAGAAGAAGCAACGGATGGAAACTCATCAAGGAGAGAAGCAACCTAGAACTAAGGGGAAACTTCCTGACAGTGAGGACATGAAATGGTGTAGGGTTTCCTGCCTGAGCAGGGGGTTGGACTAGATGATCTCCAAGATGAGAGAAGAGCAACAAAGATAATCAGGGGACTGGAGGCTGAAACATACAAGGAACGGTTGCTGGAATTGGGTATGTCTAGTTTAACAAAGAGAAGGACGAGGGGGGACAGGATAGCAGTCTTCCAGTATCTCAGGGGCTGCCCCAAAGAAGAGGCAGTCAAGCTATTTTCCAAAGCCCCTGAAGGCAGGACAAGAAGCAACGGATGGAAACTCCTCAAGGAGAGAAGCAACCTGGAACTAAGGAGAAACTTCCTGACAGTGAGGACAATTAACCAGTGGAACCATCTGCCTCCAGAAGCGGTGAATGCTCCAACACTGGAAGTTTTGAAGAAGAGACTGGACAGCCCTTTGTCTGAAATCCGTTGCTTCTTGTCCTGTCTTTGGGTGCTATGGAAAAATAAGTTGACCCCCTCTTCTTTGTGGTAGCCCCTCAAATATTTGGAAACGTGCTGTCATGTCATCCCTAATGGAGAGTTAATATCAGTTCTACAAACCTTTCAAGGGCTTCTACAACATAGAATCACACAGTTGGAAGGGACCTTAGAGGTCTTCTAGTCCAGCCCCCTGCTCAAGCAGGAGAATGTCTCAGACAGGTGGATGTCTAGTCTCTTCTTAAAAACCTCCACCGATTTCTGGAGGCAGGTGGTTCCACTGGTTAATTGTCTTCCCTGTTAGGAAGTTTCTCCTTAATTCCAGGTTGCTTCTCTCTTGGGTCAGTTTCCAACCACTGTTTCTCGTCCTTCCCTCTGGTGCTTTGGAGAATAGCTTGACTCCCTCTTCTTTGGGGCAGCCCCTCAGATACTGGAAGGCTGCTCTCATGTCTCCCCTATTTCTTCTTTTCTTTAGACGAGCCAGACCCAAGTCCCGCAGCCGTTCTTCATATGTTTTAGCTTCCAAGCCTTGGATCATCTTTGTTGCTCTTCTCTGGACTCTTTCAAACATCTCAACATCTTTTTTGTGGTACGGTGACCAAAACTGGTTCCATTTTTTTTCTCCGTGTCCCCACAGGGTTGTCAAGATGCTCTTGTCAAGTGTTTCCGCTTTCTGGGTTGGTCACTTCCGAAGAAGGTCAGCAGCAAGAAAGCCTGGCACGATCACCCCTTGATCCCAGAGACCCTCTGCCGTCAAATCGTGAGTCACGCTTCTCCTCCATTTTTTTAAAATCATTATTACTAGAACAATTAACCAGTGGAACTGCCTGCCTCCAGAAGCGGTGAATGCTCCAACACTGGAGGTTTTTAAGAAGAGACTGGACAGCCATTTGTCCGAAAGGGTGTAGAGTTTACTGCCTGAGCTGGGGGGGGGTTGGACTAGATGACCTCCAAGGTCCCTTCCAACTTTATTATCATTGTTACAGTGGTAGCTCGGGACCATCTCTGGAGGCTTTTAAGAAGAAACTGGACAGCCATTTGTTTGGAATGGCATAAGGTCTCCTGTCTGAGCAGGGGGTTGGACTGGATGACCTCTCGGGTCCCTCCCAACGCTGTTATCCTGATTCCATGGCGAGAAAAATTATTGTTTCCTTTCTCTCTCGTGTCCTTTGATAGTCCTGGAAGGTAAAGACCATCCCCGCCATCTTGCTCCAGTGCCTGGATCATCTCCAGTGTCCCCAGGTTGCTATCCGGAGAGCGGCGGCCATCTTTATTGGTGAGCTGGGGAATTCTGGGAGTTGAAGTCCATCCACCTCAAGCCATTTAGCCTGGGGGATTCTGGGAGCTGAAGTCCACCCCCCTCGAGCCATTTGGCCCAGGGAATTCTGGGAGTTGAAGTCCACCCACCTCGAGCCATTTGGCCTGGGGAATTCTGGGAGTTGAAGTCCACCCACCTTGAGCCATTTGGCCTGTGCTGTATTGGATTTATCCCAAATGACCATTAAGGGCCTAATATTATTTCGGTCTGCACAGCCCCGACTTGAAATCTTCCAGCTGTGGGCGCAAACATCTGGGTATCCTTCCCTGTTCCCTTTCTCTCTATTGCAGGCTGTGTTGCTCAGTGTGCAGATCCTGTGGCCATCACTGAAGAGAACCGGGACTTGATATTCATCTGTAAGTACCTGCAACAAGTCTCTTTCTTTCTTTCTTTCTTTCTTTCTTTCTTTCTTTCTTTCTTTCTTTCTTTCTTTCTTTCTTTCTTTCTTTCCTTCCTTCCTTCCTTCCTTCCTTCTTTCCTTCCTTCCTTCCTTCCTCCTCCTCCCTTCTAGCCCTGATGATGTTCCCTAGTTGGGTCATGAAAGGTCTGCAAGAAAACCACCCAGCTCAGAGGGCACCCAGGACCTCATAGTCTCTTTCTTTCTTTCTTTCTTTCTTTTCTTTTCTTTCTTTCTTTCTTTCTTTCTTTCTTTCTTTCTTTCTTTCTTTCTTTCTTTCTTTCTTTCTTTCTTTCTTTCTCTCTCTCTTTCTTTCTTTCCTTCCTTCCTTCCTTTCCTTCCTTCCTTCCTTCCTTCCTTCCTTCCTTCCTTCCTTCCTTCCTTCCTCCTCCCTTCTAGCACTGATGATGTTCCCTAGTTGGGTCACGAAACGTCTGCAAGGAAACTACCCAGCCCAGAGGGCTCCCAGGACCCCTGGGGTCGACTCCCCTTCTCCGTCAGCTGCTGACCTCCGCCATTTCCCCTCCTTCAGCCCTTTCCAAACTGCAGCACGATCCGGATCCTTCGGTCCGGGTGGCCGCCATGGAGGCCATGCAGATGGTCCAGGAGGCCTGCGGGGGCCCCTCCATCGCGCTGCGAAGCCAGACCCACTTCAGCCTGGACAGGGAAGAGCGCCTCTTCTCGCAGGGACACTGGGAAGTGCCGGATCCAGCCCTGACCCATCGCTGGAACCCATCATCCCCCGTCTCCCACCGGATCGTCACTAGCCACGTCAGGAGGCGACAGTCGGGGCCCGCCCGCCAAACCTGACCCACAGCCGGGGGGGGCAGAAGGCAGACCACGCCAGGCAGCGGATTCTCCGAGAGGCCGGAGGGCTGCAGCAGAACCGATCCGGAACCTCCGATCCAGAAGGGATCCCCGCGGGAAAGCCGGCGATGGAGGTGGTCCAGTCCCGCGGTTGTGTCTAGATCTGCGAGGGTGAATTTTGCGGCGATGCGGGTCAATGTCCATGCTGAGTGGCGCTCACTCCTTTACATTTCTTCGGAAAAATGTCCGCTTTGCTCCTGCCCCAACTCGGAGCAACTTACAAGGGCGAGGAACGAATTGAGAGGAGAATGGAAACGACCGGAAAGAATCGGGACGATTGAAAGCCGCCGACTCAGACTCAAATTCAGGTAGGTCCTCGGCTTACAATCTTTCGTTCAGTGACCGTCCCAAGTTACAACAGCGCTGGGGAAAAAGGGACTCAGGACCAGTCCTCACACTTACGACCCTTGAACCCTCCGCGTGGTCACGGGATCAAACTTTGGGTGCTCGGCAACTGACGTGTACTTATGACGGTTGCGTCATCCCGGGATCGCGCGATCGCCATTCGTAAGCTTCCCAGCCGGCTTCCACCAAGCCAAGTCAATGGGGGAGGGGGGGAAAGTAAGTTTCGCTTAACAACCGCACGATTCACTTAACAACCGAAGTGATTCGCTTAACAACGGTGTCCAGAAAGGTCCTAAATCGCTTAACAACTGCCTTAACGTTGGAAATTTGGGGAGCTCATTGGGGCCGTAGGTCCAGGGCTACCTGTCGCGGTGGCCATTAAGTGAGACACCCCCTCACCCCGTTTTCCCTGATGCGGTCATTAAACAAATGTGCAGGTCGTTAAAGGGAGCTTTCCGCAGCACTGGGCAGAACAGATCAGACAGCCACGTGGTGTGATTGCAGAAGTAGCTGCCATAACCCAAACTAGACTGTTGTTTCTCTGTGTCATATAATATATGTGGGTATATGCATAATTCTGTATTTATTTATTTATTTATTTATTTATTTTTGTCATATTTATGTAGTGAATATCAGAGATAGTGACCCTTTGAGAGCTGAATGCAACGAAATTTCATTTTAATATATGTCAATTAGTGTACACTCAAAGTGACAATAAAGTTATTGTTCTATTTTATTCTATTCTGTTCTATTCTGTATTTGTATTCTATTCTATTCTATTCTGTTCTGTTCCGTTCCGTTCCATTCCATTACGTTCTGTTCTGTTCTGTTCCGTTCCGTTCTGTTTTGTTCTATTACATATTTCTATTTATTCCATTCCATTCCATTCTATTCTATTCTATTCTATTCTATTCCATATTTTCTATTCTATTCTATTCTATTCCATATTTCTATTCTATTCTGTTCCGTTCCGTTCCATTCCATTCCATTCCATTCCATTCTATTCTATTCCATATTTTCTATTCTATTCTATTCTATTCTATTCTATTCTATTCTATTCTATTCTATTCTATTCTAATTCTATTCCATATTTTCTATTCTATTCTATTCTATTCCATATTTTCTATTCTATTCTATTCTATTCTATTCTATTCTATTCTATTCTATTCTATTCTATTCTATTCTATTCCATATTTCTATTCTAGTCTATTCTGTTCCGTTCCGTTCCATTCCATTCCATTCCATTCTATTCTATATTTTCTATTCTGTTCTGTTCTGTTCTGTTCCGTTCCGTTCCGTTCCATTCCGTTCCATTATTTTCCGAGTGACCGGAAGTCAATGCAGCCAATCGACCAATGGCCGCCACATCTGGAGTAACACCACATGGGTGCCCAGATTGCAAAGTGCTGCAGAAAACTCTGGAGCTCCAGAAATCCTGATGGGTGATGGTGGGTAAAGAGAAGGCTACCTGGGGACCCAGGGATGGGGAGGCCTCCGGGACCCCATGGGAGATGGGAGGAAATAGGCAAGTTGCAGCATCTCTGTGGTCAGTTGTAAGGGGAAATGACCACAAGGGGCATTGCAGTGGTCCTAACTTTGGAACTAGGTCATAAGTAGCAACCGGTTATTAAGTGAGGACTACTGACAGCTGCAACGAGCAAGGGCTTTCAGAGTTGTGATGCAATTCTTGCCCTTCTTTGCTAGAGAATTGGGAACCGCAGGAAGTTTTTTGGGAATTAAAACAACTGGGAATCTGCTGGCGAGCAGAGCAAGGAACTTCATCGTGGTAAGATCAGCTTCATGGTTTCCTGTGTGCCTGCCCGCGCGCGCGTGCACTCACACTCACACACACACACACACAAACACAAAGTAAAGAAAAGAAGAAATAGGGGAGACATGATAGCAGTGATCCAATAACTGAGGGGCTGCCACAAGGAAGAGGGAGTCAAGCTATTCTCCAAAGCACCAGAGGGAAGGACAAGAAACAAGGGTTGGAAACTGATCAAAGAGAGAAGCTAACTGGAATTAAGGAGAAACTTCCTGACAGTGAGGACAATTAACCAGTGGAACAGCTTCCCTCCAGAAATCGTGGGCGCTCCATCAAGAAGAGACTGGACAGTCATTTGTCTGAGATGATATAGGTTCTCCTGCCTGAGCAGGGGGCTGGACTAGAAGACCTCCAAGGTCCCTTCCAGCTCTATTCTATTCTATTCTATTCTATTCTATTCTATTCTGTATTTCTATTCTGTATTTCTATTCTATTCCTATTCTATTCTGTTCTATTCTGTTCTGTATTTCTATTCTGTATTTCTATTCTATTCTATTCTATTCTATTCTGTATTTCTATTCTATTCCATATTTTTTATTCTATTCTATTCTTATTTCTATTCTATTCTATGCTATTCTGTACTTCTATTCTATTCTATTCTGTATTTCTATTCTATTCTGTATTTCTATTCTATTCTATTGTGTTCTATTCTGTATTTCTATTCTATTCCATATTTTCTATTCTATTCTTATTTCTATTCTATTCTGTATTTCTATTCTATTCTATTCTTATTTCTATTCTATTCTATTCTGTTCTAATTTCTATTCTAGTCTAGTCTAGTCTAGTCTATTCTAAACACCAAAAACACACAAACAAACAAAAAAATCTGGAAAATAACAAAATTAGTCATTGCTGCCCTCGTGTGGCCAATCCAGGAACAGCATGTAGTGGTTATAAAAGCTACAACTCTTTTCCCCAAAAGTGCATTATTATTTTTTTTAGGAGGCAACTGGGTTTGTTGTTTTGCTTTGAAGCCATTTCCCTTCTTATCCAAGAAGCTTCTTCAGTTCTGACCGGATGGCGGAGAGTGGAAGGATTTATCCTTCTTGCAGACAGCTGGTCATTTGCATCCTTTTAGAGAGTCGTTGAGGCCATTTGGAGGCTTATCTGTCCCCTCAGGGTCACCTGAGTGGTGTAAATGGGTGTGGAGTCTTTTCTTTGAAGACGTTTCACTTCTCCTCCAAAGAAGCTTCTTCAGCTCTGACTGGATGGTGAGGAATGGCAGGATTTATACTCCTTGCAGAAAAAGTGGTCATTTGCATTCTGTTAGAGGGTCATTGAGGCCACTGGGAGGTTCGCCTGAGTCCTCAGGGTCACCGGAGTGGTGCAAATGGGCGTGGGCCTCCTTGGGACTGCTGAAAGGACCGTGTTGTAGACTGGAGATAGAGGATGTCATATCCCCCACCCCTCTATTGAGGGAGGTCTGCTCCATTTTGACCTCTTGCACCCCTCTTTCAAACCAGCGGTCCTCTCTGTCCAAAATGTGGACTTTGCTGCCCTCAAAAAAAGTGGCTTTTGTCTTTTAAAGGCAGACGGACGGACCGCTGATGGGTTTGTTCCCCGATGTGGCGCTGTGCGTTTGTGAAGTGGTCGTTTCGTTTCCCCAATGTGCAGATCTGCACGGGGCTCGCTGCATTGTACAGCATACACCACGTTGCTCGGTTTGTGTCTGGGCGTTCTGTCCGTGGGGTGGACAAGCGTCTGCCTTAGTGTATTCGTGGATTTGAAGTGTGCATGTGTGTTGGGGGAGGGATACAACACCACTTATCTCTGTTTACAACACAGACCTTTGAGCAGTTCCGAGAAGGCTCCACACCCATTTGCACCACTCAGGTGACCCTGAGGACACAGGTAAATCTACAAACTCTCTAAAAGAAGGTAAACGACCAGCGGTCTGCAAGGAGTATAAATCCTTCCATTCCCCACCATCCAGTCAGAGCTGGAGAAGCTTCTTTGGATGAGAAAGAAAAGAAAGAAAAACAACAAGGAAGTCCAGTTGCCTCATGGAAAGAAAAACAAAGCACCTTTGGAATAATCATTTCCATAGGCATTTACAACTCTTTTTATTTCTTATTTGTTTGCTCTGAAACGAATATTGATCCCTTCGTTCTGTTTTCCAGCCAAAGGCCCCAGATTGGGCCCTTTGTCAAATTGGGGGTGTCTAGTTTAATGAAGAGAAGGACGAGGGGGGACAGGATAGCAGTCTTCCAGTATCTCAGGGGCTGCCTCAAAGAAGAGGGAGTCAAGCTATTCTCCAAAGCACCCGAAGGCAGGATTAGAAGCAACGGGTAGAAACTAACCAAGGAGAGAAGCAACCTGGAACTAAGGAGAAACTTCATGACAGTGAGAACAATTAACCAGTGAAACCACCTGCCTCCAGAAGCGGTGAATGCTCCAACACTGGAGGTTTTTAAGAAGAGACTGGACAGCCATTTGTCGGAAATGGTATAGGGTTCCCTGCCTGAGCAGGGGGTTGGACTAGATGACCTCCAAGGTCCCTTCTAACTTTATTATTATTATTATTATTATTATTATTATTATTATTATTATTATTATTATTATTATTATTATTTAAGTTACAATTATAATCAAAATTTGGCCATCAATGAAACAATTCAATAAATAAAATATTGAATAAATATTACATTATCGACTTAAAAAGCCCAACTTGCTTACTACAAAGTCATCTAGTCCAACCCCCTACTCAGGCAGGAAACACTATACCATTTCGGACAAATGGCTGTCCAGTCTCTTCTTAAAAACCTCCAGTGTTAGCGCATTCACAGCTTCTGTAGGCAGGTTGTAAATAATAATAATAATAATAATAATAATAATAAAGTTGGAAGGGACCTTGGAGGTTATCTAGTCCAGCCCCCTGCTCAGGCAGGAAACCCTGTACCATTTCAGACAAATGGCTGTCCAGTCTCTTCTTAAAAACTTCCAGTGTTGGAACATTCACTGCTTTTGGAGGCAAGTAGTTCCACTGATTAATTGTTCTAACTGTCAGGAAATTTATGTATGTATGTATGTATGTATGTATGTATGTATGTATGTATTTATGTATGTATATAATTTCTCTCTCTCTTTTTTCCTTTAATTAGAAGCAGCCTCCTGAAGAACAGATCCAACCGAGACTGCAAAACCTTAATAATAAGTGATAGAAAACCCAGAAGAATTCAGAAGAATACCCTATAAATAAAGATTTCAAAAGTATTCACGGATTGCAGCTGCTTAGATGGGCCTAGGGCAAAATTTGCTAGTTTTTTAATCCTGCTCTTTTGCAGACAGGAATCACGGGCTGATTCTACTTCGCTCCCCTTCTCTTTATCCCCAAAAATTTATTTCTTCATTCATTCAAGTTGGAATAAATCAATTCCATCCTCCAGGCAACTGTCAGTGCCAACCTTTGACACATCGAAAGAAACAGAAGGAAAAGCATAAACTAGCTGCCAACTTCTGGAATAAATTGACTTTGAGTTGGTTCCCAAGATGCATAAATCAATTGGGTTGTTCTTTTCTTTGATCCATGCATGGGGGAAAGTTTTAAAGCAGGTAGATTTATGAGTCCCCTGTTTTCTAGAGTTTTCCAACATGCAGGCTGAGGAATGCCAAGAACTTGATCGGGTTCTGTGAGATATTACAAAAAAATTAAAAAGTGCATCCGAATGCAGACTGTTTACTACCATAGGCACTTCGTCCCTTACTCTTCAAGTCTTGCAATCTCATTTTTAACTAGCTAACATAGGGGTCTTCAAACTTGGCCCTTTGATGACTTGTGGACTTCGACTCCCAGAATTCCTCAGCCAGGCACGCTGGCTGAGGAATTCTGGGAGTCGAAGTCCACAAGTCATCAAAGGGCCAAGTTTGAAGACCCCTGGACTTCAACTCCCAGAATTCTTCAGTCAGGCACGCTGGCTGAGGAATTCTGGGAGTCGAAGTCCACAAGTCATCAAAGGGCCAAGTTTGAAGACCCCTGGACTTCAACTCCCAGAATTCTTCAGTCAGGCACGCTGGCTGAGGAATTCTGGGAGTTGAAGTCCACAAGTCATCAAAGGGCCAAGTTTGAAAACCCCTGAGGTAACAGGTTCTGCGGTCTGAAAAAACTTTAAAAATTCCTGCTCTTCCTTTAGTCCTCAGGTTACGACCATAATGGAGCCTGGCCATCATTGGGGGGTAATGTGCGACAGTTGTAAAATGGCTCGCTTGACAACGTTCTCTGCCACGGTCATTAAGCAAATCAGCAGGATGGTGGCATTTTAGGCTCAGAGGCATCTCTGTGTGGTATGTGTAAGTGAGAGAGATAGAGAGGGAGAAAAACACACACACACACCACAATCTTGTTCCAGTATCTCAGGGGCTGCCCCAAAGAAGAGGCAGTCAAGCTATTCTCCAAAGCGCCTGAAGGCAGGACAAGAAGCAACAGACGGAAACCAATCAAGGAGAGAAGCAACCTGGAACTAAGGAGAAACTTCCTGACAGTTAGAACAATTAGCCAGTGGAACAGCCTGCCTCCAGAAGCGGTGAATGCTCCAACACTGGAGGTTTGTAAGAAGAGACTGGACAGCCATTTCTCTGAAATGGTATAGAGTTTCCTGCCTGAGCAGGGGGTTGGACTAGATGACCTCCAACGTCCCTTCCAAAGTCGTCGTTGTCGTCGTCCTCCTCCTCCTCCTCCTCATTATTATTATTATTATTATTCTCCTGTCCCAGTAACCCACCCCAATTTTTAAAGGTGGGGATTGCGGTGACTCAGAAACGGGTCGACAAATAAATACCTTGAGCTCTTCCTCCTTTCCTACTGGTTTATTGATCGGAAGAGGCAGATCAATCAAGTTTTCCATTAGGAAAGTTTTTAAAACTTTATCCCTGGCTAGTTTAAGGCAGGGAATTTCAGGCTGGGCCTCTTTGCAGGCCCTGCTCTCCGAATCCCCCAGATTTTCATGTTCCTGCTCAGACGTTGCTCAAGCCCTGAGTTCGAGACTCGACACACGCTGCAAAAGAGCTCCCCGTCATTCCCAAAAGGCACGGAGGGAGGAGTCCGTGGCTCCTTCTCCTTCCCTCCTCCTCCTCCTCCTCCCCCTCCTCCTTCAAATCATGGTCACCCGGTTCTTGATGTACATGTGGTAGGGATCGCTCGGCTTGTCCACTTCTCGGGACCGCGTGTAGCTGAGGATCAGGCTGCCAACGGTCAGGGCGAACAGGAGCATCATGAAAAGGATGTACATGTAGGCGTAGCTGTCTTTCTCCTCCTCGTCGGCGTTGCTCAGTCGAGGACAGGGCTCCACGCGGGAGACGGTACGGTTGAGGGCCTTCAGCATCACCTCCAGCATCTGGAACCAGGTCTCCGTGTAGTTAGCTGCCATCGTGCTCTTGGGCCGATGCTGGTGGAGCAAAAGAGAAGGAAATTAATGAAGAGAAGGACCAGGGGTGACACGATAGCATCTTCCAAGCTCTGAGGTTCTGCCACAAAGAAGAAGGGGGCGGGTGTCAATCTGTTCTCCAAAGCACCAGAAGGCAGGAGAAGAAGCAACGGATGGAAACTCATCCAGGAGAGAAGCAACCTGGAACCAAGGAGAAACTTCCTGACAGTTAGAACAATTAACCAGTGGAACAACCTGCCTCCAGAAGCGGTGAATGCTCCAACACTGGAAGTTTTTAAGAAGAGACCGGACAGCCATTTGTCCGAAATGGTATAAGGCAGTGATGGCAAACCTTTTAAAGACCGAGTGCCCAAACTGCAACCCAAAACCCACTTACGCATCGTCGGGTGCCGTGTGGGCGTGGCCCATTGGGTGGGTGTGACCCATTGGGTGGGCGTGGCTGCAGTGGTAATGCCAGACTGGGTGGGACTAAAAAGTTCAATCAATCAATTCCAACTTTGCAAGATCTTTTTTTTCCCCTGCGAGAAGTTGAAATTGACTGATTGATTGAATCTTTTTTTTTTTTTTTTGCACATGGCGGCGGAGGCCTAAAGCGAAAAGGTTTTATAAAACCCAGCTGAAGACCCAGGACTGGGGCGACGGCGCGCGTGCCCACAGAGAGGGCTCTGAGTGCCGCTTCTGGCACCCGTGCCATAGGTTCGCCACCACTGGTATAGGGTTTCCTGCCTGGGCAGGGGGGGGGGTTGGACTAGATGACCTCCAAGATCTCCCTCAATTCTGTTATTCTATTCTATTCTATTCTATTCTATATTCCTATTCTGTTCTGTTGTGCTCTGTTGTTTTCTATTCTCTATTCTATTCTATTCTATATTTCATTTCTATTCTATTCTATATTTCTATTCTATTCTATATTTCATTTCTATTCTATTCTATATTTCTATTCTATTCTATTTTATATTTTTATTCTGTTGTGCTCTGTTGTTTTCTATTCTCTATTGAATTCTATTCTATTTTCTATTCTATTCTATATTTCTATTCTATATTTCTACTCTATTCTATTCTACTTCTGTTCTGTTATTATCTAATTCTAGTCTATAATTCTATTCTGTTCTGTTTTGCTCTGTATTCTACTCTCTCTATATTCTATTTTCAGAATATCAGCCACTTCCCGAGAGAACAGTACTGACTCCCTAGTCACGTAGGGGTTCTCAACCTTGGCAACTTTAAGACTTGTGGACTTCAACTCCCAGAATCCCTCAGCCAGCAAAGAATTCTGGGAGTTGAAGTCCACAAGTCTTAAAGTTGCCAAGGTTGAGAACCCCTGCGCCTAGTGAGTATTTGGGGGGAAGGGCCTCCGCAGCCACCTGGAGGTGGGCAAGACCATAGGCCTCCTCTAGGGAGCCCCCCCCCCCCAAAGTTTGACCATCTTCCTCCTTTGTGATCCTCAGGAGATATTCAAACACAGGTAGTCCTCGACAAACCATCACAACGGAGCCCACAATTTCCAATGCCAAGCAGGGCAGGTCTTAAGGTTTGATCCAGTTTATGACCTTTCTTGCCGCAGTCGTTAAAGGAATCACTGCCGTTGTTAAGTGAGTCACAGGGTTCTTAAGCAAATCTGGCTTCCCCATTGACTTTGATCGTCAGGAAGTCGCAAAAGGGGATCATGTGACCCTCCGGGACACAGCAACGGTCGTAAATACGAGTCAGTGGCTAAGCGAATGAATTTTGATCATGTGATCACAGGGATACTGCAACAGTCATAAGTATGAGAAGTGGTCCTCTCTGTGTCACTTTTTTTAAGTGGGTCTAGGTTGAGCAATACCTGTACTATTTTATTTCACTGGATTTTCAACCTTAGCAAAGTTTTATTAGTCTACATCAGGGGTCTTCAAACTTGGCCCTTTGATGATTTGTGGACTTCAACTCCCAGAATTCCTCAGCCAGGCACGCTCACTGAGGAATTCTGGGAGTTGGTCCATCCATGCTGACAGGAATTTTAGATGAAGTCCATCCATGTTGGCTGAGGAATTCTGGGAGTTGAAGTCCATCCATGCTGACTGGGGAATTCTGGGAATTGAAGTCCATCCATGCTGACAGGAATTTTACATGAAGTCCATCTATGCTGACAGGAATTTTAGATGAAGTCCATCTATGCTGACAGGAATTTTTAAATGAAGTCCATCCATGCTGGCTGGGAAATTCTGGGAGTTGAAGTCCATCCATGCTGACAGGAATTTTAGATGAAGTCCATCCATGCTGGCTGGGGAATTCTGGGAGTTGAAGTCCATCCATGCTGACAGGAATTTTAGATGAAGTCCATCCATGCTGGCTGGGGAATTCTGGGAGTTGAAGTCCATCCATGCTGACTGGGGAATTCTGGGAATTGAAGTCCATCCATGCTGACAGGAATTTTACATGAAGTCCATCTATGCTGACAGGAATTTTAGATGAAGTCCATCTATGCTGACAGGAATTTTTAAATGAAGTCCATCCATGCTGGCTGGGAAATTCTGGGAGTTGAAGTCCATCCATGCTGACAGGAATTTTAGATGAAGTCCATCCATGCTGGCTGGGGAATTCTGGGAGTTGAAGTCCATCCATGCTGACCGGAATTTTAGATGAAGTCCATCCATGCTGGCTGGGGAATTCTGGGAGTTGAAGTCCACCCATGCTGGCTGGGGAATTCTGGGAGTTGAAGTCCATCCACGCTGGCTGGGAAATTCTGGGAGTTGAAGTCCATCCATGCTGACAGGAATTTTAGATGAAGTCCATCCATGCTGGCTGGGAAATTCTGGGAGTTGAAGTCCACCCCATGCTGGCTGGGGAATTCTGGGAGTTGAAGTCCATCCACGCTGGCTGGGAAATTCTGGGAGTTGAAGTCCATCCATGCTGACAGGAATTTTAGATGAAGTCCATCCATGCTGGCTGGGAAATTCTGGGAGTTGAAGTCCATCCATGCTGGCTGGGAAATTCTGGGAGTTGAAGTCCATCCATGCTGACAGGAATTTTAAGGCAAGTCCATCCGTGCTGACTAGGGAATTCTGGGAGCTGAAGTCCACAAGTCATCAAAGGCCAAGTCTGAAGACTCCTAGTCTACATCTTGATAGAACAGGCTTGATTATTCCTGATTTACTGTTATTATTGTTTTCATGCATTTGATTTTTTTTTGTATGGTTGCGATAAGGATTTTGTTGTGACTTTTGGAGTAAAACCGGCTATATAAATACCAAATTAATGCAATTTTAAAGAAAACTTCCAGGTCACTCATGATCTTTTTTTTTTTTTACTCTCCGTGTTTATTTATTTTCCAATATTGTTGTCCAACTGGGGAGACTGCTAGCAGGGTACAACAGAGGCTAGCGATAAAATGGGGGAAAAAAGAATTTACCTTGCCATAAAACCGAAGAACAGAATAACGGTGTTGGAAGAGACCTTGGAGGTCATCTAGTCCAACCCCCTGGTCTGGCAGGAAACCCTATCCCATTTCAGACAAATTGCTGTCCAGTCTCTTCTTAAAAACCTCCAGTATTGGAGCATTCACCATTTCTGGAGGCAGGTTGTTCCACTGGTTAATTGTCCTCACTGTTAGGAAGTTTCTCCTTAGTTTCAGGTTGCTTCTCTCCTTGATTAGTTCCCATCCGTGGCTTCTTGTCCTGCCTTCAGGCGTTTTGGAGAACAGCTTGACTCCCTCTTCTTTGGGGCAGCCTCTGAGATACTGGAAGACTGCTATCCTGTCCCCCCTCGTCCTTCTCTTCGTTAAACTAGACATCCCCAATTCCAGCCACCGTTCCTTATATATTTTAGCCTCCAGTCCCCTGATCATCTCTGTGGCTCTTCTCTGCACTCTTTCTAGAGTCTCAACATCCTTTTTACATCGTGGTGACCAAAACTGGATGAAGGATTCCAAATGTGGCCTTACAGTGGTGCGGTGGTCCTCTCCACCTTGTGTTAGAGGAAACCTCGACTTACAAAGCACTCAGAGGAGCTTATAACAGATCCTATTTTGTTCCTGCATTGTGCACTGGAAGCACTACTCCTTTTTCTTTTATGCCTAATCTCAAGATTGTCCACCAAAGTCTTTTTTTTTTTTCCCCAGCCGATCCGGTTCCTGTTTACCTCGCTGTTCTTTCCCAATCTTCTTAGTAACCCGATAACAGTCATACCTGGCCTCCAGGTGTGTGTTTGGAAAACTTGCCCCCTCTTGCAAAGCATTACAGCTTTTAAGGGTGTAGGGTTTGTTCCCCTCTTAGTGTGTGTTTCTGAAACTTGGCCACTTTAAGGCCTGTGGACTCCAATTCCCAGAATTCTGGGGAATTCAGAAGATGTGGGTGTTCCACCACGAGAGATTTTCAAGAAGAGATGGGACATCAGTTTGTCTGAAATGGTATAGGGTCTCCCGCCTCTGCAGAGGGCTGGACTAGATGATCTCAAGATGCATTCCAACTCTGTTACTCAGTTATTCTGTTAAGACGAGGGGGGACGAGGGGGGGACATGATAGCAGTGTTCCAGTATCTCAGGGGCTGCCCCAAAGAAGAGGGAGTCAAGCTGTTCTCCAAAGCCCCTGAAGGCAGGACAAGAAGCAACGGATGGAAACTAATCAAGGAGAGAAGCAACCTGGAACTAAGGAGACACTTCCTGACAGTGAGAATGATTAATCAGTGGAACCACCTGCCTCCAGAAGCTGGGAATGCTGGAAGTTTTTAAGAAGAGACTGGACAGCCATTTGTCCAAAATGGTATAGGGTTTCCTGCCTGAGCAGGGGGTTGGACTAGATGACCTCCAAGGTCCCTTCCAATTCTATTATTATTATTATTATTATTATTATTATTATTATTATTATTATTATTATTGATAATCGCACAGTCAGCCAGATGTTCAGACTGGATTTGGCATTTTGTCTACCTATCGAGTCCTTACCCAGGACCTGGGATAGGCAGATGTGGATGTTTGATGGTATTACAGATATCGTTGCAGGATGGAAGCAGTTCCTAGCAAG